ACCCATGTGAAACTGTTTCTCTTTATCATCTCTCATTAAATGAGTGTGACTTTGTTAGAAAGACCAAAGGAAAGGCTTTGACCATGCAATTGTTTATTCTGGATTTCATTTCTGAATTCTAAATTTGGCTATATTTAGCAAAGCTATAACCGTCATCATGCCCAAAGCCAGGAAGAAGACACCATTCACAAACCACCCCCTGAAAATCTGCAGTTGCCACTAAAAAACCAGACTTCCCGGCAGGCAAAGACTTCTGAAAGTGGGAGGGATCAAACTGGTGTTTGCGTCAGAGAAGACCTCAGGTGCTTAGAACCAACCTCTCTGCCTGGCACTAATGCTCTCCAGAACCTCGCTGCCTCTTCTTTTCTCTCCAACATACCTTCCACTCTGGTCACACATATCCTCACTCTCCCCCTCATCTACTCCCTTCGGTACCACTGGTCATCCCACTCCCCCACCTGCTTCTCCTTCAAGCTGCTTGCCTCTCACTGAACCTTCAGGCCTGCTCCCCTGCCCCCAAACACTATCCCTCCCTTCCCCACAATTAGCATAGGGCTGATGCAGAGATGGTAGCAGTGCATCCTGGAGAGCTCTTCAATAGTTACTCCAAAGACCCAGGGCCACTGAAGGAAGCGAGCAGCAAGTGAACAGCCGGGAAACAAAACGTAAAACAATTTCCTTCTACCATTCCATGTCCTTCTTTCCTTGCTTCTGGAAGGGAAACTCGTACTAACCCAGATGATACCACTAGTCAGTTATCCCTGAACTCATCATACTGTTTCACCACTCCACACTTGCATATACTACTCTCTCTGCTGGGAAGGCCTTGGGTAACCCTCATCTGGACCATCTGCTGGGCAAGTTCCATTCCTGTTCAAACCACACTTCATCTCTAAACCCTGGCCCTCAGGCCCCTTCTCTTTATCACCTCAGAACATCTTTTATCATCTACTACATATCAAGGGCCATACCAAGGGCTGGACACTAATCTTAGGTTTATTTGTTGGTCTATGAGCTCCTTAAGAGCCAGGCCCACATCCTATTCAAATTAGTAATTCTGGAATCTAATGCAGTTCCTGCCACAAAGAAGGCCTAATGAACATTCACTAAATGAATACATGTGTGCATCATATCAATACCAACACGATGTAATTATATGCTACACATGTGTGTATACAGACATACGTACATGTATACATATGTTTGTTTTAGGTATTTAAACCTCACTACCTTGTGATGTTGGTAGAAGAAATTGTAAGTTTACTGGTATGGAAATTCACTCAGTAGTTCTCATTAACTCTAGACCTGGATTCCTTCAGTGGAAGTAAGGAAACTGCTCTGATGGAGCACGTGGTCCACCTTATACAGAACTGATACAGTTCTGGAAAGTGGTCTTGGACACAGCAGGTATTTAACAAACATTTACTGTTTAAAGCTTAGATGTAAGGCCTCATATAGCTAAGGACATATAATAAAAGCACAGCTCTTCAGTCCTTCTCTGAGCATTGCTCCAATTTTCCCATTGAGCTCATTCCAGAAGCTTAAACCAAATCTTCCCTTGACATCACATGCCCATGACCTCAGACATGATTAGGAAGTCATCATGGCATCCTCACTGAGGAAGCTAGAGAAAATATCCAGCCTGGAGACAGCCATATCCCTCTGAACTCATGGTCTAAAACTTCACTTCCCCCAAACAAGCCCCAGTGGACTAGTAAGTGAAAGCAGACGAGCAGGGCTGATGCTGATGGGGAGATGGCAGCCCACGTATTCTCCTGTCTTACTCTAGCACCTCTTCCTCGGTGTTCTTGCATTCCTCACTATAAAGCATAGACTGATACCCATTTTAAAGAAACAGGGGTGACAGGTGGGATGTGGTGCTGAAGAGTCTGTGTTTAAAGCCCACCCTCCCAAACTGCCTGGTCACTGCCCTGGCAACTCGATGCACAATCCTCATCATCCTTGGACAACTCTGGCTGGGACTGGTGGTTAGGTCCACACCTGGGGACTCAAAAAGAAGAGGGTGCAGGAAGGAACATGGTCACCCAAAACATCTGTTGACCCTTCAAGGAGCTAGTGAGGCTTCTGCAGAAAAATATCTGATTCTGTCCACCCACAATGGGGAAAAGGATTGCTGCAGATTGCTACAACCAAACTAACCTTCACATCCCCCCCCTCCACTCCCCCTTAACTACAAAAAGGATATAATGTTGCTGGCAAATAATGGCTACCATTCATTGAACACCTGAAAAATGTTAAATAATTCACATACATCGGCTCATTTGATATTCATGACCACTCCACAGGATAGGGGTTCTCAATCTTTAGCTTGCATCAGAATCTCTCCAGAAATCTGTTAAAGCCCCACCCTCATGGTTTATGGGGTGAGGCCTAATTTGCATTTCTAACAAGCTTCCATGTGATGCTGATGCTCCTGATCCAGGACTCCACGCTTTAAGAACCACTGCCATAGGGAAACAGATTCCAGAGAGATTTGAAATGCCTTATCCAAGGTTTCACAGCTAGTAAAGAACAGATGCAGAATTTGAACCTAGATCTGCCTGACTCTGTAGACACTGCTGGTAACCATGCTATGCTGTATGTGTGAATATTTGCCTCGTCTTACCAAACGCACTGGCAGCTCCTTAAAGGCAGACATCACCCTTTAGACCTCCCTATCATCCCTCTCAGAACTTAGTGGCACCTTTTTACTTAGTAGGTGCTACATAAATAATTTGTATACAGGCTCCTATATAGCTATATACTTCTAAGAGCCACAAATTCAAACTCACCTATAGTCAAAGAATATAAAGAGAGCAATATCGCCAGATCCAGTTTTACGTGAGACTCTCTCCTGCTGCTCTGAGTCTTGGCCCATGCTGTCTCCACACCTGAATAACTCCTACTCATTCTTTGGTCAGTCACTTCCTGCAGAAAGCAATTCTTGGCTCTCTAAAACTGGGGCCACTGCACCCTAAGCCTGTCTCCATGATAGCGCATATCACTCTACTCTAACTGGTTGTTTTCCATCTCTCAACGTAGTCTGTAAACTATAGCATCTAGTTTTATGTCATATCCCCAGGGCCTAGCACAGTGCCTGGCACATCATAAATACACCATAACTGCTTGTTGAATGAATAAATGAATGCAGAGCTGCAAGCCCTAAGTTCCACATGAAAATACTATAATGCATGATGTGTAGTTCTCAGGGATGAATTCCAGGGAAGAGGAGGACAGCCTAGATTACAAAGAACAATTTTGCCTTTTCTCTTTCTCCCATCATTCAGACTCTGAAAACAGGCACGGCTTAGGGTAGCACCAACTACAGTAAGACAATATCCTAGCTGAACAAAATGCTCCTAGGCTATAAGGTCAGCAGAAGTCATTCAAAGAGAAGGAAAGAGCTCTGTGCCCCCTCATGCCTCCTTATTTCTCTCTCACGTACTCCTTCTCCATTTCTCCATCCCACTGCAGTTAAGGGCTTTGGCACAGGGATGAAAGATACAGATCAGACTCAAGGGTGCGGATCTGGCAGCAGGCACAGAAGCATCTCCCATCCTGCACCAAAGCCCACAAGGAAAGATCCAGAGGGACAGTGACTCAGGCCCCGGAATAAGTCCACCTAGAACAGTGCTGAGAATGGAAAAGAGCAAGAATTTCACAAGGACATTAACTGTCAGATCTTTTTTTGTTAAGTGTTTTTAAAGTAAAGGCTTCCACCCTAACCCCAGAAAAATGGGCCCAAGTTGAACCCAGTACTTCACAAGCTGAAAGCCAAACACAGCTTCTTCATCCTCTCAACCCACCTGCCTGCAACACTCACCGTGACAGGCATCTCCCAGGCCCAGGTTAGGACCTTTGCTTCAACCTTAGCTTGCAAAAACGCTCCTTCCCCAGCTAATAAACTGTCCCCCCCAAAACCACCATGTTGCAGTAACAGAAGCCTCCCCCTTCCTCCATCCCCCCTCTCAGCCGATAACACAACCTACAGCAGGTTGGCCCCATCCAATTAGTTTGAATAGCTTCATGCCAAGGAAACTGCTGCTTTTATTAAAAATAAAAGCACACAAGGCAGGCAATGGACTGTGAAAAGTATGAGTCTGGCGTAATTATGAAGGTCGAGGTTAAGGTTACCAAAAGATACACGCAAAGATTTCCAGAAAGCCTGGGGGATAAAAATACATATTTACATATCTACAGATATACAGATGAACACACATGGAGAGAATTTACACAGCAGATCTAAATACCATCTTCTCCAATAGAGGAAAAACAAAAATCAGATGCTACTCTCAAGTAATTCTTTTGGCTAAAAAATAAAAATAAAAACTAAAACAGGAGGAAGAGGGGCCTAGTAGACTGCTTTCAAAATAACCACATTCATCTCGTGTAATTTCTGTTATCTTGGCTACATCCTGGGGACCGGATTACAGTTGGGTCAGGAAACAAAACTAGTCAAATCCACCAAGAGCCTTGGCTCTTAGAAAAACATATTCCCATTCTCTGAAAATCCTCTCTTCCTCAAATGCCTACTCCTGGGAGTGGGAAAGTTGGGTAGAAGGAGAAACCCCTTTCTCTTCTTAAAGCTACTCCATCTCCACCCTTCAGCCCTCACATCACAATTTCAAGTTTAAGGAGGATGACAAGCCCAACACCCTACATTTGATGTGAAGCTTTACACTTTCACACATGCGTTTTCTCATCTGATCCTTATAATTCAGCGAGGCAGACAAGAATTGGCTTGCCAATTTTTTAAAAAATAATAAAATAAAAGGCCACTGAGGTAAACAATTTCCAGCAACGTCCTTCCACCCCACAAGCCCGGTCACTTCCAAATCTCAGTTTTAAATTTCTCAAGGACAATGATTCACTGAGCAAGGGAAGGGGGAAGGGAGGGTCAACTGGTCAAAACCCATTCATACACTGAACAACTAGAAACCAGTCTTGCTGCATCAGCATAAGATTTTAATTCACGGCGCACTGAAAGAGTCCCACCATACCTTCCGCCAACACCTCGTCCACAGTGACCTGCTGTCGCCCAATGCCAAAGACCCTTCCGATGTAGCCACTGCCCAGGCCCGAGGTGCTGCCCCCACCTCCGCTGGAGCCGGAGCCCAGGCCAGAGCCGCCCTGCTCTCGCCGGGAGTCGAAAAACTTCTTCATCTTGCGAATAGGAAGCAGTAAAGCAAAACACCGACGGTTTCTGGATTTTTTTTTTTTTTTTTTTTTTTAAAGAAAACAAGAGATCCAAGGATTTCTTCTCGGATTTCAGCTCGGAGAGGAGCCACCCGAATCCGGCCGTGGGGGTGGGGGCTGAGGGAGGATGCCTATAGGAATATGCGTGTCAATCGCGCCGCGGTCCCCTCCTCCTCAAGAGAGCGATTCGTGTAAGTTTAAACCTGTGATGACAGAAGAGAGAGAGGATGAATCAGTAACACACTTACGAATTCAGCCGCTGAGTCCTAGAGAGAGCAAAAGCCATCATCCCGGGGAAACGCTTCATGCATTTTCCTAGCAGAAAAACCCTAGGGCTGAAAACCCGGCAGAGCCCGGGACCCCGGTGCCCGCGGCTCGGAAAAAGGGAGGATTCGGCCGCCTCGGGCAGCGCCGACCGAGCCGGGCACTGCCTCCCCCTCCTCCCGGGTCTCCCCGCCGCCCCGAGAGGCAGCATCCCGGCAGCACCCACTTGAGACAGCTCGGCGGCTGGCGCCCAGCTACCAGCCCTGCAACATTGTCACGGCCGCCGGGCCGGCCTAAGACGCGGAGAAGAGGCGGCGCTGCAGCGAGAGCCGGGGCCGCGTTCGGCGCCCGCCCGCCCGCCAGCTGATCCCCGGAGCGCCCAGCGGAGACTGACCCGCCGCCCCTCCCCCGCGCGCGCTCCCGCCCGGCTCCATCCACCCAACCAGGAAGTGAACCGCCGCCGGAAGTGCCTCTCGGGACGGCGCGGCGACGGGCCGAGGCCCTCCTGTTGCTGCCGCTCAGTCGCGACAGACGAGAAGGAGTCGTCGGAGAGAGGGGGACCCGGGATGGGGGTGTCTCAGTGTGGAGAGAGTTTTAGAAAAGAACTTTTATCGCCCGGCCCGCATGGCACTATGGGAAAGGTAGTTCGGCGCAACCCAGCGGTTGGACTACAACTCCCAGGATGCCCCTGAAGGAGCGAGCGAGGTGGCTGCGGTGGCCTCATCGGCCTCGAAGGTGGTTAGTGGGGTGGTGCATTTGTGGGGATTCGGTTATTTAAATATATCCAGTAAAGAACTGCCAAGGACTAGGAAACTGCTGCATGTACCACCCTTTTGGAGCCATCTTATTTGCGGCTTGACCTCCCTGCACAAGGGATTCTGGGGGTTGTTTCCGAAAGGATCGAGGCTGACACCTGAAGGCGCGGCTTAACCTCTAGCCCCTAGCCTGTCCTGCGAGGCTTAACGACGTCACCTGGGCAGAAAGTGGAAGACAAGGGGTGATCGGGAGAATTTTGCTGGCAGTTGGTACAAGGCCACACCCGAACGCCAACCCTAAGTAAAACCTGTACCTTTCTCCCCTCAACCTCAAAAGCTGTTTTTGCTCACAGTTGTTATTGAGAACTACTCTGCGGTCAGCTTTGAGCTAGGCACTGTGAGAAAACTTAAGACAGTGTTTCGTCTGGGAATCTACAGGCGAGACTCAAACCGAGAAACTTGGGGGGGGGGTGCAGGGCAGATCCTAGGGTACCAGCAGATCCAAATTGCTGGTCTGATCCCATACTTTAGGGTTTGGCTGCCGACAGTGACGCTTAATTCTTCCAGCTTTCCTGATGCTATGGGTGGGCCTGACCTTCACAAATCCCCTCACACAAAAACCCAAGGCTGACTTTCTGTTCTTTCTTTTTCACTTTAAGATTTCCTCCTTGATGCTTATTTTACCCTGATATCGCCTGAGTGCCAAAGTCCATTGGGTGGACAACGTGATTTTCATCTGCCAAATGCAGAAGATTTGGAAGGCCGGTTGGTACCCTTCTCCATCCCTAGATTTCCTGATGGGTGATGCTGAAAGTAGTTCCAAACCCCTGCCCTCACCTCCACTGCCCCCCAAAATCCATGATTTTTCTAACCACCTGAATATAGGTTATTTCTCACTTCCACCCGCTCTCCCTAATTCTGCAACAGCGCTCTTGGCTTGTAATTCATCCCAGAACGTTTTCAATAGGCATTTGAGGAGAGGACAGAGAGGTACTCCGGGGGGAGAAGGGGGGTGGTATTTCTTACCCTCTCTAATCTGAATGTTGAACTGAGCCGTGACTGAACTGAGCCGTGACTGCTGCTTCTCCTTCCTCTCTTCTTCTCCCTCTTCTCCTCCTCCTCCCCCCCCCCACTCCTTTTTTCAAGTAGTGCCTTTGTAGTTAAGCTTCCTGTGTAGAGACAGCATTTTTTTCTTCCAGAGGGAGTCAATGTTGTCACTTCAGTTCACAAATTCATGCAGCCACCTCCAGGGTGGAATGCAGCACCTGCTAAAACATTCCCTCAAAGGAAGCCCACGGAGGCATGTTCTCTGCACTTTCCTTAAAAGGCTAGATTTTGTCTTAAGGAAGTTTGGAATAGACCTTAAAATAGATGGGAAAGCTCATTGGAATTAGATTCATTGACCTCCATCTTTATCTACATCTATTGATCTTGGCTGACTTTTTAAAGAAGTTCTATTGGGTCCTAGAATCTGTTGCTATCTCAGTTTTTACTTTTCTAGACATTCCTGTTACCAGACTAGGCCAGACTTATGCAAATCCCAACTCTCACTTCCTTGGAACAAAAACTTGTTTTTTTCTGATAGGATTAAGGCAGCTAACAAGCATCCACCTGATGCTTTGAGGAGGTGTTTTTTTTTTAAAAGAAGCAAAAGAAAGAAAAAGCATTAGAACACTGGGTTTCTTGCTTCCCATTCTTTCAGAGACTAATAACAATTATAAGACAAAATTGCAGTTTTTAATCCTTTACATAAAATAAATTATTTGATCCTCATAACAACCCTATGAAATAAGGTAATATAAATTGTACTCATTTTTTAGATGGGGCATCTGAAGCACAGAGATAAATGAGTTGCCCAAAGTCACACAGATAGTGACCGGCGAAGCTAGCGCTCAAACCCAGACATTTTGGCTTTAGAGCCCAGTGTTTAACTAGCTACACTAAACTGCCTACTTAGAAAAAATATATATAAACTGATTAAAATACTAGAAAATAGTTAGAGGGGCGCCTGGGTGGCTCAGTTGGTTAAGCGACTGCCTTCGGCTCAGGTCATGATCCTGGAGTCCCTGGATCGAGTCCCACATCGGGCTCCCTGCTCGGCAGGGAGCCTGCTTCTCCCTCTGAACCTCCCCCCTCTCATGTGCTCACTCTCTCTCATTCTCTCTCTCTCAAATAAATAAAATCTTAAAAAAAAAAATTGATTTGAAGTATTCTGGACTAGGTAAGCTTTTGAACTTAGTCTAGGAGATACTATTGATAAATACCTAATCAAAGAGAAGGGGAGGGCGCCTGGGTGGCTCAGTAAGTTAAGCAGCTGACTCTTGATTTGAGCTCAGGTCATGATCTCAGGGTTGTGAGATCAGGCTCTGCGCTGGGCATGGAGCCTGCTTAAGATTCTCTCTCTCCCTCTCCCTCTCCCTCTGTTCCTCCCCCCCAACCCCCACCCCCATTAAAAAAAAAAAGAGAGAGTGGGAGAAGGGGAAAAGAAAGTGACATTTGCTGTGTATTTTCCATATGCCAGTTACTGTATTAAGCACTTAACATAATATCTTGTTTAATCTTCTTGTATGCATCTCTGCAAAGTAAATACTATTATCTATTATATTAAAGTAGATACTATTATACTATTATCCCCAATTTTATAGATGAACAGTGAAGATTTTGTTAGTAGCAGAGGGATGTGCATGGTTTGCTAGGTTAGGAGAAAATGATTTGCCCTGTAGGGTGGCTAACTCATGTCCCAGTAAACCCAGTTATGGCAATGTGTGGTGCATCCTTAGAGGAAATCAAAGGGAAGGGGACCAACTTTAATTAACTACCTTAACTAAGGCCCGCACTGTGTTGGATATTTAATCATATCATTCAGTCTTCACAATACACCTATGAGGGACGCATTACTCTTAATTTTGTCAATGTGGAAACAGACTGAGCCAGGTTAATGTATGTTAACTATTGTTACACAGAGCCTGTAAAGGGCAGAGGCAGAATCAAAACCTGACTGACCTCAAAACCCTCATCATTTTCACTACACCATGTAGCCATTCTATATTGCCAGCTTTTAGTCCAGCGGAATTTATTAGGAATACAGAATATCAGGCCCCACTCAGATCATTAACTATTGGATAACTAAATAATGAATGAATCAAATGCATCGCTTAAGGGGAAGAGCCATATACTTTCTTCTACACTTTTGGTTTAACATTTTAAAAACCTTTTTTAATTTAAATATCTTCCCTGTTCTTCTGAGGTATAATTGACATATTTATCATTGTTGTATTTTCTCCAGCACTAAAAATGGTACACAGGGATAGTTTTCAGAAATTTATTTTCAGCAACTCCTTAGCTAGTGCTTAAAAAGAGAGAGCAGGAGCCTAAAAGTAAATAAAATATAATCCTTTTGATGTACGTCAGTTGCCGTAACAACGGGCAGCAGAGTCCATCAGCAATGGCCTCTAACTTTAAGAAGGCAAGCATGGCATCATTTGCCCAGCGAAAAAAGGATGAGTCCTAAGCCAGAGCTTACTGAAGAGCAGAAACAGGAAATCCGGGAAGCTTTTGATCTCTTTGATGCTGATGGAACTGGGACCATAGATGTTAAGGAACTTAAGGTGGCAATGAGGGCACTGGGCTTTGAACCCAAGAAAGAAGAGATCAAGAAAATGATAAGCGAAATCAATAAGGAAGGAACAGGAAAAATGAACTTCAGTGACTTTTTGACTGTGATGACTCAGAAAATGTCTGAGAAAGATACCAAAGAAGAAATTCTGAAAGCTTTCAAGCTCTTCGATGATGATGAAACTGGGAAGATATCATTCAAAAATCTAAAGCGTGTGGCCAAGGAGTTGGGTGAGAACCTCACTGATAAGGAGCTACAGGAAATGATCGATGAGGCTGATCGAGATGGAGATGGAAAAGTCAATGAGCAGGAGTTCCTACGCATCATGAAAAAGACCAGCCCTTACTAAAATCAGCCTCTTCTTTTCATATTGTGTGAAACCTGGGTTTTGAGAACATAAACTATTTTCTCCTACTGACCTCCTTGTATAACTTTAGTAACAATCTTAAATCTCTCTTAGGTATTTGAAAGTGTACTTTGACACTTAAGTTCTTTTTAAGGTGACCTGGGGATTGCTTCAATTCCCCAGAGCAAAACAAAAGCACATTAGGGTGGTGAAAAGGGTCTTAAAGCTTTCACCCACCTGCATTTCTACCTTGTATCACCTCACTCTTGTCATGCATTTCCACAATGATGCCACCCAGAACGACTTTTTAGACAAGCACATGTTGTATCCATGCCACCAGAAGCAGAGGCATCTCCTTGATGTTTCTAGTTATAACTGACACCTGAGTGCCGCTTCCTCTTTTATAAAACCCAATGAACTTACGTGCATTTGGATGTGTGTTTGTGCTATTTGTTTTGTCTTAAAAATAAAGCCTTTCTTATTTAAAAAAATATGTATATATATATATAATCCTTTCAAGGAATTTAAAATATCCTGTAAAATTAAGTGTATTAAATGACAGGAACTAAGTGTATTAAACGACAGGAACTAAAACTGATAAGAAAGGCACAATCGTAGTAAAAACAGAACGTATTTAGGTAGAGGCAGGGACAGCAGTCCCCTTTCACCAACCATCCAGGTGATTCTGATTCATGTTCAAGTTTGAGAACCACTGTTTAGCAGAAGGGAAATTATAACAACCATTTTCCTTCTTTAACAAGAACATTTATTGTTTTTGTTTTCTGGTTAGAAAGGTAATTACATAACCACTGAAGAAAGTAGGATAAAGAATAAAAGTCACTCAGAGATAACTGCTATTGACTTTTTTTTTTTGCATTGACTATTTTCATGAAGGTCAAAATTTCAAGGACCTCTCAGCATATCCAGTCCAACAGCCTGTTGGAGGTCTAAATCCCTTTTCTCTTTTTAGTTGCCCTATAAATCTTTCAGCTATTCCTTCTGCTACGTCTGCTACTTACTATTACTGTAGAAGTTTGAATGTACCTCCATTATAGCCCAAATCAATTTGTACTGTCATTGTTGGTTAACCTGTTTCTCCCTTCAGGATTACATCACACTCATCTTTCTGGCCTTTGCAGTTGACTCACACATACATAATGGGTGCTCAATAAATATTTTGAACAAAAAATTAGTAATTTAATGAAAAAATATATCAAAATACTGAAACATATTTAATGCTTCTTATCAGGGTCCTAATTAGATTGAGCTCTAATAGTCTAATTAACCACAGAAATATTCTTTTAGAAGAATTCCTTCATCACAAAAGTTTCTAGACCCGAAAGTTTGATGATCAGTAAATCTCGAAGGATTACTAAAATGTACAGGATATTCAGTTCTCTCTAACAATATGAAAGGTACCTAAGACGTTCTAGGTCACTCATTTCCACCTTCTCCTGCAGTTTATTTTAATGTCATTAGTTTAATATCAATTTACCTTGAGTTTTCATTCTCCAGCAACTACCCCATTTTTCTCCCTCTTTCCAGCAAAGCACATCAGTACAGTTGTCTATCCTTGTCATCTCTACTAGTTCTCCACATTACTATGTCCAACAAATAGCTCTCAATCCTTTTTTTTTAATTCAATTTATTTAAACAGACAAAAAAAAACCCAGTTCACCCATTTCTCCCACCCATCACCCCCTGCCTCTGGCACCCATCAATCTGTTCTCTGTACCTATAAGCTTAATATATTTATTTTTTAGACTCCACATGTGAGAGAGCTCATTTGGTATTTGACTTTATCTGACTTATTTCACTTAGCATGATGCCTTCTAGGTCCATCCATGTTGTTACAAATGGCAAGATCTCATTCTTTTCTATGGCTGAATAATATTCCATCACACACACACACACACACACATAAATCACAATTTCTTTATCCATTCATCCACTGATGGACACTTAGCTTGTTTCCATATATTGGCTATTGTAAATAATGCTGTAATTAACATGGGGTTGCAGATATCTGTTTGAGTTAGTGGTTTTGTTACCTTTAGATAAATACCCAGAGGTAAAATTGCTGGATCATATGGTAGTTTTATTTTTAATTTTTTTGAGGAACCATCATACTGTTTTCCGTAGTGTCTACACCAATTTACATTCCCACCAGCAGTGCCCAGGAGTTCTTTTTCTCCACACCCTCACCAACATGTGTTATTTCATGTCTTTTTGATACTAGTCATCCTAACAGGTGTGAGGTGATGTCTCATTGTGGTTTTAATTGGCATTACCCTAATGATTAATGATATAGAGCATCTTTTTATGTACCTATTGATTATCTGTACGTTTTTGTTTGGAAAAATGTCTGTTCACATCTTCTGCGCATCTTTTAATTGGGCTGTTTGAGAGATTTTTTGCTATTGAGTTGTAGGAGTTCTTTATGTTTCGGGTATTAGTCCAGTATCAGATATATGATTTATAAACATTTTCACCCATGCAGTAGGTTGCCTTTTCATCTTGTTGATGGTTTCCTTTGCTGTGCAGAAGCTTTTTAGTTTGGTGTTTATTTTTGCTCTTGTTGCTTTTGGTGTCAGATTTTAAAAAATAATCTCCACGACCTATGTCAAGGAGCTTACTACCTATGTTTTCTTCTAGTTTTATGGTTTTGGGGTTCAAGTCATTAATCCATTTTGAGGTGATTTTTGTGTACAATGTAAGATAGTGATCCAGTTTCATTCTTACACATGTGGCTGTCCAGTTTTTCCAACATCATTTATGAAGAGACTGTTTTTTTCCCCATTGCATATTCTTGGCTTCTTTGTCTTAAACTAATTGACCATATATGCAGGGGTTTATTTCTGGGCTCTCTGTTCCATTGATATATTTGTTTTAGCTCAGTACCATACTGTTTTAATTAGTATAGCTTTGTAACATAGTTTGAAATTAGGGAGCATGATGCTTTTGTTCTTCTTTCTCAAGATTGCTTTGGCTATTTGCGGTGTTTTATGGTTCCATACAAATTTGGAGATTTTTTTTTTTCTATTTATGTGAAATGTGCCCTTGGTATTTTGTTAGGGATTGCACTGAGTCTGTAGTTTGCTTGGTAGTATAGACATTTTCACAATATTAATTCTTCCAATCCATGATCATGGAATGTCTTTCCATTTATTTCTGCTACTTTGATCAATTTCCTTTTAGCATTTTTTCCAGTATATAAATACAGTTGGGTTTTTTTTTTTTTTACCATATTAGATCCCATTGCATATTTGGTACATTCTACTATGTTTTTTTCATTTAATAGTTTCCCACTTCATTATATATTCTCCAGAAACATTATTTTTTTTTTTTTTTTTTTTAATTTTATTTATTTATTCATGAGAGACAGAGAGAGAGAGAGGCAGAGGGAGAAGCAGGCTCCCAAGGAGCAGGGAGCCCGATGCGGGACTCGATCCCAGGACCCTGAGATCATGACCTGAGCCGAAGGCAGACGCTCAACCATCTGAGCCACCCAGGCGCCCCAGAAACATTATTTTTAATGGATGCTCAATAATCAGTTCTTTACAGTTGAATATTTTATTGTTTTATTTTAAAATTTTACTGTTTTACATATGTAGTATATATATTTACATTACATTTACATGTATATTATTCACATACATACTTAATTATGTTTCCTCCAGGAAAGTTATACTGATTTCCTCTCCACTCTTGATTCAGTTAACTTATATTTATTAAACACCTACCATGGGTTACACACCAGAAATTTTATTGCAATGAACAAAATAGATACACTCTTTGCCCTCAAGGAGCCTTTGGTCTTAAAAGAAGACATTCAGTCTGGGTGCCTGGGTGCCTCAGTCAGTTAAGCATCCAACTCTTGAATTCAGCTCAGGTCATGATCTCAGGGTTGTGAGAATGGCTCCCACATGCTTGGTGTGGAGCCTGCTTAAGATTCTCTTACTCTGCCCTTCCCTGCTCATATGTGCTCATTCTCTCTCTAAAAAACAAACAAAAAACACTGAGTTTGTACAGTTAAAAGAGAAATCTATCCCATTTGATAGGTAGAGATGGTGCTCATTGTTTTAAATTGTCATTGTTCAACTTAGTGACCTTGGGTACTTTTTATTGACGGGGACTCTCTCCTTAGCCAAACTTGAGCCAGGCTCCTCTGAGTCCTCTTTTTGACTAGATCTTGACCCTGGGCTCTGTGCTTGGCCCACTTAGTCCAGTTTTAGCAAGAATCCTGCTGAGTCAGTTTAGCAAAAATCCCCCCCATCCTTGAAATCTGATCACTTTTGATATCTGATCGAATTTCTCATCCCCCTCTCTCCATATCTTACCACCTTGGCCTACCTTCAGTGAGAATCCTATTGAGTCTATATAGCAAAGAATCCCCCTAGCTTGATGTTTCTCCTCTTGATGTTTCTCCTCTTAGGAATTTTCTATCCACCAACCCCCACCCTTGGCTATAAGTCTCCACCTATCCTGGTTGTATTTGGACTTGAGCTCCATCTCTCTCCCTTACTACAAAACCCTCATTGCAATAGTTCCTCTTTTTTTTTTTTTTTTTGAATAAAATCTTCCTTACTGTCTTTGACAAGTGTCATGAAAATTTTTTCTTTAACATCATGTTCATTACTTCATTCATTAGTTGTTTAGTTACGCACTTGTTACATGTCAAAACTATGCTAGTGTTACAGGATTTCTTTGACTTCGGTGCCCAAGGTTCTTGGTCACGCCGTTTTGAAGAATGAAGAGGTAGACCAGAGGAAGAGTGGTAGGCAGCAAAGCAAAGTTTATTGAGGATAGTAAAGTTTATTGAGTGATAGTACAAAGCTCCCAAAGAGGGAGGGGACCCGAGAAGGTTGCCACGGGGAAGTTTCTAAGTCTAGGGGTTTTTATGGGCTTGTTGGGGGGCTGTTTTAATCTGATCAACCCTCTATGCACCTGTCATCCAATCAGGTTTTTGTCATCTATCACGTGGGAAAAGGTGGAGGGCTCCTTCCAGAGTAGCATAAAATCCTTTTAAGGGTGGTTCCCTCGTCGGGGGGGGGGGGGGAGGGGCCCTTTGTCCCTGCCTGCCCTTCTTCCAACTATACTTCATCATCAGGAGCTGGAAACAATGATAAATAAGGTAGATATATTCCTTCCCTTACAGAGTTTATAGTCTCATACTCATTGGATATGTATATTTCTTCATTTAAAGTTACATCCTTTTCCATTTTTCTGTTGGAGTATTTCTTCTTAAGAGTTGATTTGAAAATGCTCTTTATTCAGTTAAATCAATTTATTTAATATTGAGCTCCTCCAGTGTGCAAGGCACTTTTCTAGGCACAGGGAAGATGATATGGAACAAGATAAACAAGGTTTCTTCTTGTTAGAGAGTTTATACTGG